AGAAAGCAGCAATTTCTGTTCCGATCTGTATTCATTTCAATAAGCTCTGTTTCGGTTCTGCTGTAGTTCCGTTTCCGCCAAATACGACATTATTTGTCAATGTATCTCTTTACATAACTTGTGTAACTTACATCCATTTCAGTGTAAAGGGAATGTCAAAACAATGCAAAAAGAAGTCATTAATTACGTATCATTCATGCGCTTAAAAACAACAAGAACTATATGAACGAATGCCGATTCTATTCGCTTGACAGATTTCTGTTCCTGACTGGAGAAGAGCATGCAAACTGATGCAATTTCCATTCCCTTTTCAGTTTTCATCAAAAAAATTCTCTGACATTCATAACTGAGAGCGTGTAAGAAATATCTCTAAGAACTCTAGCATGTCATTCTGTTGTGCACCTTAATTCTTAGTTGCACTTGATGAGCCTTGGGAAGTTGTTTAGACAGGATTGTTATGATAAACAAAATCCCAGAATCCTGACCTGGCACAATTCTTCCTTTCTTCCTTCCTTTCTCTTGTTTTCATTTCCCATTTTTGGTGGTAAACTTCTTCAACGGGAGAAACCTTTTTGGCAGGGCTGGCCCAGAAAGTTTACCCACACTGCAGCCTGCCTCCTCCTCCTCCTCTGCAGCCACTTCCACAACTCTCAAGTTGCAGGGCCTCCATAGACCCTCCAAGTGTCCCTATTTTCCAGGGATGTCCCTGGTTTAGAGAAGCCTTGCCGGTTTCTGATTTAATCCTGGAATGTCCCACTTTTCCTCAGGATGTCCCTGTTTTCATAGGAGAAATGTTGGAGGGGATGGAGTTATCTGACCCCCCCAAACCATCTGAAGGAAATCCTGTATAGGGAAGGTTTTTAAAAGGAATGTTTAATATTTTATTATGTTTTTCTATATGTTGGAAGCTGCCCAGAGTGGCTGGGGCAACCCAGTCAGATGTGTGGGGTATAAATAGTAAAAATTATCATTATTGAATGGGACGTCCCTATTTCCATCAGAGAAATGTTGGAGGGTATGCCTCCACCATACACAGCCACCAAAAGGGAGGAGGGGGCTGCAAGGGGGGAGGCAGAAGAGAAAGCTGCAGCAACTGGGGGGCTTCAGGTTTTTTACCTCTCTCAGCTGCCGCCCTGTCTCATCTAGTTTCATGGGTGGCCCAGGCCTGCTTTTTTGGAGATCTTAGAATCATAGAATTGCAGTGTTGGAAGGCAACACAAGGTCATATTGCCCAATCCCCTGCAATGTAGGAATCTTTTGCCCAATGTGGGGCTCAAACCATGGCCTGGAGATTAAATCTCTTGCTCTACCAACTGTTGAGCTGTATTTTTTTTCAGCTGTATGCTCTATTCTGCCTGTAAAGATGCCACAAACTTCAGCCCATAATCTTCCTCCTCCTCCTCCTCCTCCTCTCTCTTTCTCTCTCTCTGCCCCACTCTATATTCCAGTTCCCAAGATTCCATCATGCTTTACCATGACCAAGAAAATAATGCCAGGATGGATGACTGCGCATACACACACACAAACTTTGCAATTTGCTCTTGCGTGTGATGAAAAAATGAAGCACTATGCAGAGGGACACTTTGTTGACTGTACTAATATGATTTGAATGCTTCCATGTCAGGAGTATAAACTGCAGCTTACAAATTTTATTGTAAATAAAACAAAACCATTCTTCCTTGGGAAGTACAAAGTGCCTTCCATAAAGGCTCCTGACAGTCTCCTCTTTCTATCTCCCCTTCAAGTATCTCTATTTTCCAGGGACAGTCCCAGATTCACAAAAGCAGTCTCGGTATCTGATTTGATCCCAGAATGTCCCACTTTTCCTTAAGATGTCCCTATTTTCACCAGAGTATTGTTGGAGGGTATGGTTAAGGTAAAGGGACCCCTGACCATTAGGTCCAGTCGCGGACGATTCTGGGGTTGCGGCGCTCATATCGCTTTACTGGCCAAGGGAGCCGGCATACAACTTCCAGGTCATGTGGCCAGCATGACAAAGCTGCTTCTTGCGAACCAGAGCAGTGCACAGAAACGCCGTTTAGCTTCCTGCCGGAGAGGTACCTATTTATCTACTTGCACTTTGACGTGCTTTTGAACTGCTAGGTTGGCAGGAGCTGGGACTGAACAATGGGAGCTCACTCTGTCGAGGGGATTCGAACCGCCAACCTTCTGATCGGCAAGTCCTAGGCTCAGTGGTTTAACCCACAGCGCCACCCCATCCCCAAGGGTATGGTTAGGATGTCCCTATTTTCATTAGAAAAATGTTGGCGGATAAGCAGCTATGCGACCACTGAGCCAAGGAGATAAGTAATTATACAACTATACAACCTTTAGAACACATCTGAATGTAGCTCTGTATAGGGAAGGTTTTTCTAATGTTTAATGTTTTATATTTTTATATATGTTGCAAGCTGCCCAGTTATATTTTTAAATTCTTATTATTAAATAGGATGTTCCTATTTTTATCAGAGAAATATGGGAGCAAATGCTATCTATCTATATATATCTATCTATCAACAACCCACTCATCTTGAGCAGCGCTACAGTTCTGAGTGTTCTCAGATCACGCAGTATGTCCTTTTCCCCCACAAAAGCCGTATCTATTCTTCTCCCCTTGTGTAGGTTAGCACAACCCCTTCTGAAAGAGAATCCTTCTGAAGGATCACAATGTTCAATGTACCTTACCGAAGACCTTTGCAGGACGCAAGTCCTCTTACAACGAAGATCATTTCGCTGCTATTAATAGTCAGAACAAGCTTTGTAAAAAGCCAAGGTTCTAAATATGCCAAATTGGTTTCCATTGTCCACCAAAGTGCACATCAAGGAATATAACAGCAAGATGCTAACCACTTAGACCTGATAAAGCCAGCTGATCAGCTTGTAATTTTTACTCGGTTGCCTTGTTTAATTCAAGGCACCGCTAGAGTAGCAGATCAACACCTAATGCTGGGTAGATTTAACAGGGGGGGAAAGAGAGAAATAAATAAAATTAAAGAAATAAGTGCTTAAGTAGCAAAGTGATTTTTCTTACAGCCCCAGAATTAATAACTACAGCTCTCTTTCAGAAAAGAAACAGTATCATTCATACTGAAAAATATTCTTTTCCCTCCCACAGGGGATGCCTGCGTAGGTGTGGAGCTGCAGTCTGGGAAATTAAAAAATGCAAATTTAAAAAATGCAAATGCAAAAGCAAAGCAAAACCACTTGCCATGGTGCTCGAAGGGCTTTCTTGAATAGCAACAAATTAAAGAAATGCTATGTAATCAAAGTTTATATCTAGCCTTAAGAAAGAAAAGCACCACAATCTCTAAATATAGTGGTAGTACTGTCTGTCTGCCTTTGACACCGTGTGCCAATTACTGGTGAATTACCAATACTGAGCCTCCAATTTTAACAAGAAAATGCCTCTCTCACTTTAGCTTGTTTAATTAACTAATGACAATTAGGAGGGATATCGCATTGGAGTAAATGGCAGCCAGGATCCAGGAACAATTCTATACATGTAAAAAGATCTGGCTGGTGCAACCACCCGCTGAGGTGTAGCTATCTAGGAATGACAATCCTGCTTCCTGTACTGGGTTTCTCTTTAAAAATTCCACACTTTTAGCCATAACAGCTGTACTTTCTTACATTATTGGGAATCTGTGTCCCCGGTCATATCTGCAGCTTATGAGGAATGTGGAATACTTCCTGTTCTTCTGAACTTGTGCAGCATAATTGTTTACATGCTATCGCATGAGGTCACACAGAATCATAGAATTGGAAGGGACCCAAAGTGTCATCTAGTCCAAACCCCCAGAATCATATCAAGGGTCAGAGCAAGGGGGCATGTTTTTGAGTCTACATTATAGGGGCACTGAAGTTAAGGCCAGTCGCAAAACCAAGGTAACATCGTTATAAGCCTCCAAGTTCTATAACTTATATTTAAGAAAATTGGCATCTGTTTGGCACATAACCCGAAACATAGTAAACTATGTTAAATATGTATTCTGTAGTTGACCTCCTTTGTAATGTTTTATTTTGAATCTTTAAGATAATATTTTAGCTTTCTGTTATGTTGTTTTGACTGTATGCTCTATATTTGACTTTCTTCAGATTGTTTTATATATGTTTTATTGATTTAATATGCTGTAAACCGCTTTGAGATTTTTATTAAAAATATAAAGCGGTATAGGAATTTTATAAACAAACGAACAAACATTATCTTCCTAATGAGGTCTACAAAACTGCCAAAATTCAAGCCAAACTCATTAAAAGCCAAGCTAATTAAAAAATGTTGAAAATGTTGAAAATTGCTATATTGACCTCTTCCCACCCTCCACGCCAGTTCAGATCACATGTTGGCAGCAAAATCATCAGAATTGGCAGTGGTAGTCTCGCTGCTATCAGAGGATATTCCATCAGAGGAATCTCTCATCTCCCACTCCTTAACACTTCCTACCAGCTACTTAATGCGAGCAACAAGCAGGCATGGATCAACTCAAACTGCAAAGGTTCCTCTAAACAATGTAATCAGGCTCAGATGCTTCAGAGGCAATACAGAGCCAGGACTTAGGACCAGGGCAATGTGGGGCAGCTTTGCTGGTCCCAGGCGTTACATCCTACCATCTAGAATTTGGCCCAAAAGACCAGGGAAATGTGTGGATGCATGCAGGGTAAGTTGCAAGCAACCAAAAGACCAGTGCTAATTATGGGACATCAGCCTCAGGAACCATCCTCCTGGCTTTGTTGAGCTTGAGGCAACACCCGGAAACTTCAGATTCAGTCTTATACCAGGAGGGATTCTGATAATATCAACTTTTCATGTATGTGCTTGAAAGACTGTATGAATCATGGCCAATATGGTAAATGCTTTAGAAAGGCGGGCTCCTAAAATGAACTGGGGGGGGGGGAGGGCTGTGGAAAATTAGAGCATTCACAGAACATTAACAGAATTATAGAAGTGGAAGGGACCCTGAGGATCATCTAGTCCAACCCCCTGCCATGCAGGAATATGCAGCTGTCCCATACAGGGATCGAACCTGCAACCTTGGTGTTATTAGCACCACATTCTAACCAGCCGAGCTATCCAGGTATTGGATCCATTGCATCCAATGGTTCCCTCCCTCCAAAAAAAGTCTTTTCTCCATAGGAAGCATCTCCTTTGAGAGGAAGGGAACCTCTGAGTGCAAACCATGTTTTAAATCCTTTGCTGAATATGTATTGCCAGTTATTTGGCGCTACCTGATCCAAGGGATATGGTGGGTTCCTACAACCCTTTGTTCCCCTCCAACGCAGAAGGAGAAGGAGCCATCTGCTGGAGCTGCATTCTTTGGCTCCGTGCTTTGGGGGCATGCAGTAGCCTGTCCCCGACCCCAAAAATATAGGGGTGGTGCAAATGGTTCACCCCTAGGAACCGGTGTCCCTGGCAGCACTAAAGTGACCTCCCTGGGGCACAAGCCTGGGCAGTGTGTCAGGAGGTCCTGGGCTGCCCGCCTCTCGGCCTCGCTGCTGTGTCCAAAGGAAAGCAGAGAAAAACATTTGGCACCAGCTTGGCTGTAGGAGTTGCCAGAAGGAGGTGTACAAGGTGCCAGCTAACCATCTTAGGGTCTCCACTCTGGATTTGTGTAGGATTTAATTCTTTACCTTTTCTTCTCTGGGGTTGCGGCGCTCATCTCACTTTATTGGCTGAGGGAGCCGGTGTACAGCTTCCGGGTCATGTGGCCAGCATGACTAAGCCGCTTCTGGCAAACCAGAGCAGCGCATGGAAAAACTGTTTACCTTCCCGTCGGAGCGGTACCTATTTATCTACTTGCACTTTGACGTGCTTTCAAACTGCTAGGTTGGCAGGAGCTGGGACCGAGCAACGGGAGCTCACCCCATCGCGGGGATTCGAACTGCCGACCTTCTGATCGGCAAGTCCTAGGCTCTGTGGTTTAACCCACAGCGCCACCTGTGTCCCATGAATGAGGGTATTCTTGAGCTTTAGGACATCTCCCAATGGGTTGATTTTAGTAAATGATTATGATTGTGGGTGAAGCTCCCTCAGAATTCTCCCCTTCTTCAATATTAGCCACGCTGGGGAGCCAGAATAGATGGAAGTCTGGGTGCACCAAAGCCAGAGGGTTAGTTGCATTATGCTTTATTCTGTTCTTGGATTGTACCGACAGGGTCTTCCATGAATTTTAGTGCCTTTGAAATCAAGCCCCAAAGCCCAAAGATATATGACCACTAGAAAAAGATAATTTCTTGCATCCACATTTTAATTAAAAGGAAGGATAACTGCCCCATTGTGACTCCATTACAGTTTACAGTGCTCACTTCATTTTAATTAATCAGACAATTCCTATAAATCAGCAAAGGGGTTAAAAAATGTTTGCAAAGCCTTGCAGATTAAAAGATAAAAACTCAAGCAACCTTAACCAAATATATAGCTAATAAAAACAGCATTAATAACATTCCCCACATACCTCTATGGAGGAGCTGTGCTAATGGTCTTTGAAAAGATCAACTGTTAATACGTGTAAACAAAACAATAAAATATCTTTAATGTCTATTTCCCCTTTATCTAACTCATATCTAATCTGTCCCTATGGGAGGATCTGCACCCCTTCTCTTGTGCTGATTATCAGGTAGCAGTGGGGGAATACATTCCCCAAATAGGGCCATCCTCCCAGTCTCCAAGAAGGCAATGAAATATATATAGCGCATTCAAAGTGCTTCTGTCCCAAGAATCCCTACAGCAACTCACTAAAGGTAAAAGGACCCCTGACCATTAGGTCCAGTCGTGACCGACTCTGGGGTTGCAGCACTCATCTCGCTTTACTGGCCGAGGGAGCCGGCGTACAGCTTCCGGGTCATGAGGCCAGCATGACTAAGCCGTTTCTGGCGAACCAGAGCAGCGCACGGAAACGTCATTTACCTTCCCGCCGGAGTGGTACCTATTTATCTACTTGCACTTTGATGTGCTTTTGAACTGCTAGGTTGGCAGGAGCAGGGCTGAGCAACAGGAGCTCACCCCATCACGGGGATTCGAACCACCGACCTTCCGATCGGCAAGCCCAATAGGCTCAGTGGTTTAGACCACAGTGCCACCCGCAATTCACTAGACTAGATTAAATATTGCAAGCTGTATAAGATGGCAGGGGAGACTGTCCTACCCACGACTAATCTTTGCAGAGTCAAGATTGAAACTGAGGACTTTCTGGTTCAAAGCTAGACTGCAGCAGCACATAGGGCTTGTCCACATTTGAACATAATTGAACTGTTAACCCACTCTTCTACCATTTGGAATTTAGACCAGGGTGGTCCACAACTCTGATTCTATAGCTGCACATACACCTTGTTTTTTACTTATTATTTTTTTAATTCCCCACCCTGGAAGTGTACAAAAGCACAGTCAGGCAACTGTGAATTTGTGCTGTTCTCTGGTTTTGTGGGAAAGTGAGGTATCAAAAGGAGTGTGTGTGTGTTTGGATTAGCTGCTGACCAACCTTACTAGCACATTGGGAAAGAAATGAAAGCAAATATAAATTCTTGTAACAAATTTTTCAGATTGCTACCCAATATTTCTTGTATTTTATGTGGTTTGCTTATGTTTTTCTGCAAACCCGAGATACTAAAAGAAAGAAAGAAAACCGTCATTCAGGAAATAGTTGTGAGCATGGCCAAAAAAGAAATTAAACTGTTGAAGTACTAGTGAGCACAGAGTAGAAGTGAGTAGCAGAAAGCGATAATTGATTCACCCACTCCAAAAAACACCAAAAGTAGTCATCTGCAGGCCAGAGTGGTGCAGTTTGGAGCTTGATTTCCACCAATTTATCAGATTATCCACACATCAGGCGGGGAGCAGTGAGATTGGTCCTGCTTGAGAGTAATGCCATGTGGATTACACAAATTAAATGGGAATACAAACAACTGAAAGAAAAAAAGTAAACTCTAGAGTGGACTTTGTGGCTGCAAAGTTTTAGCAGTAGTGTTGGCTGGGTTTGGAATTGGTCATAATCTTCCCTTGCCCTGCGCATTAAAAAATCATAATTTTTTAACTGAGTGTTCTAACCAACACCCCAATTTTCTAAGTGTAGGAACTGACAATTCTCAAGCACAGGTTTACCAACTAGAACCACATGTTACACAAATTTCTGTGTTTTCTTTCTTGGGGTTTTTTTTTTTTTTTAAACTTCCAAAATCAGTCTGAACAGCCTGTGAGCCTGTGTGGAGGAAGGGTGGGCAGAGAACAGCTGCTTAATCCTGTCTCCTTTGGTCATTTTCCCCCCAATTCCTTAAGCTCCTTTTTCACCCTTGGGAGGTGGCGGGAGATGCAGGGAACCCAGTTAATCATCATCTCTCTGCCCACCCTCCCTCCACGCAAATTCAGAGCCTGTCCAATCCTATCTTGTGTTTGAACAGAGGGGGGCGGAAGTAACTATCCATGAAATGTGTAGTTTGAGCCTGAGATTTCAGCCTTAGTTATGCTCAGGAAGGTTGAAAGCATTTTCTTGCCTTGGGGGAGATTTGACAAGGTTTTGAGGACCCCCTGCCTTTTGATTAAGAGAGCTCATCAGGCATTGTAGTGATCAGTATTCTAGACACTTCTTTGTCCTCCTTATGTAAAACTCAGGTCTAAGTCTCCTTTGACATTTTAATAACTAAATGGGGAAGGCCACTTGTGTTTTTATGATAACCCAGTACATCTCTCTCTCTCTCTGATGTACACACTGCAGATTTGAAACATGTCCAAATTGTCTACTCTTAGACGCTTGCTACACGATTCCATTATTCTTAACTTCAAATGCTGTCATAAAAAAAGATTACAACCGCTTACAAACTCACCACCATTGTCTACAAGAAAGCACCCGTTACTTTACTTAGACCTTGTCTTGGTCTGCGATTTCTAAATCCGTCTGATTTCGACGCAGCTGCAAAATGGGGGTGAAAGCCAGTTTAAAAAGTAGGGGAGCGGTTTTCATACGGCTGCTGGTTCAAGGTGCAAGCAAGTATGTATGAATAAGGGAGTTGCTGCATTTTGCTCTTGTGGATTATAGCAAGCTTCACCCCACTTTGGCAGTGATTAAAATGCTGATAAATATGCTTATCTCTATCATACGTGCTTCATATCAGCCCTCTGCCTTTTTGTTTTTAAAATGTGGTATAACAGTTCATTCTATTGTGTATTCATTTGGCAACTAGTTTTTGTTTTTTTGTTTTTTTTAAACTTGTTGAAAGCTGCTCCAGAAAGTGTTTATGGGGTGGGCTGGCGACCTTGTAACATCACAGGGCCCAGCCAATCAGTGCTGGCCACAGCCAGCTTCATTTGCAAATGAAAAGATTTTTTGATGAAGCTAATCCTGAAAAAAACATATGTTTGTACGAAATGCTGCATGTGCACTTTTCAGTGACTCACCACTCGAATTAAGTTATCTATGTACGTATCCTTATTATTCTTCTGTGCTGGAACTCCAGAGTTCCTTCTCCCCCCATCCCCCTTTCCTCAAATGAGCCTGGCTTTGTTGACTAGAAACAACTGTTTTGTTCCTTTGGACTATAGAGGTTGCATTCAAAACTGCTTAGGGTGTGACCAGCATTGTTATTTCACGTGGGTGTGGGCATAATTTTTGTCACACATGACCTCCGTTGATGAATGAGCAGTATCACTTCAAAATCCCATTAACTTCCTAGCATCATACTGCAAGTGTGATTTTTTCCCCCCTTCCAGTTTCTCAAAAGCAATAATTTTTATGTCCTAATGACCTTCACAAGTCTTTCCGAGTTCTAATGAAACAGAAATGTCTCCAGATTAATAGGATGGCAAGGTCCATGTTAGCATGCAACCACAGGCATAAGGGCTGCCAGGCGAACAGCTGCAGGTGCCAATTTGCCCACTTGTATGTCCTGTGGTCTCAGTAAAAACAAACAAACAAACAAACATAAATAAATCCACAGTGCAGAAGAGACTGTTTGCTCTCCTTGCTCAGTTCCTGTTTGCACTAGTTCAGCCTTTCCTGAATTGAACAAGCCCACATTTCATTCAGTTCCAGAATTAAAGACTCATCTGCCTATGCATTTTAAACAGTGACTGGGTGTGGGAGGTCTCTC